GGGGACTCGACCGCAATAGCTCATGAACAATTTTCGTGAAGCCTTAGAGGCATGTGATCTGTGTGATATCGGGTTTAGGGGGGATAAATTTACCTAGAGGAATCACAGTAAAGAGCTTCAGAACTACATTTGCGAGCGGTTGGACCGGGCCACGGCTACCGCGGAATGGTGCGAGGCGTTCCCTGCTTCTTTGGTCACAAATGGTGATCCTCGTCACTCGGATCACAGCCAGTGATCGTCAACACAGAAGGTGAGCTGGTTAGGAGGACGGGAGGCGATCGAGGGTTTAGATTTGAGGCATGGTGGTTGAAAGAGGAGGGGTGTAGTGCTGAGATACAAGGAGCCTGGGAGGAAAGTTGGCGGGATGGGGAGGCCAGTGTGGGCGGAACACTTAAAGGAGTAGCTGGGAGAATGAAAACATGGGCGAAGGAAGTGGTGGGAGAGCTTGATGGAAGGTTAAAGAAGGCTAAACAGGAGCTGGAGAGGTGTATGAAGGCTGCAGTTTCGGAAGAAAAAAAATCAAAGAAGAGGGTCGCTTGAGGTGTGTGGTGGAGGACCTAAAGCAGAAGAAGAACACCAAGGCCAAGCAGTGCTCTCATGTGGATTGGCTAAGGGACGGCAACAAAAATACCCGTTATTTCATGGCCTATGCGTCGGCCAGGAGGAAGGCAAACCGGGTGAAGGAGTTGAAGAAGGAAGACGGGTCGGTAGTGAAGGAGGGAGAGGACCTTAATAACTACATTTGTTCTTTTTTTTCAGGAGTTGTTCACTTCCAGTGCTGGGGACAGAATAAATGAGCTCAGTGAGAAGGTTCAGCCCAGAGTTACGGGCCAAATGCGTGACATGCTTGATATGGAATTTACCAGGGAGGAGGTGAAAGCGGCTTTGGACCACATTGGCGATCTCAAAGCGCCGGGGCCGGATGGCATGCCCTCGGTGGTCTTTAAGCAACATTGGCACTTCATGGGCGATCGAGTGGTAGAGGAGGTCCTTGCAGTTCTGAATGGAGGTAATATGCCACCGGGCTGGAATGATACTACGGTTGTTCTCATCCCCAAAGTCAAGAACCCGAACAGGATCAAGGATCTTCGACCGATAAGTCTTTGCAATGTCGTCTACAAGCTGGTATCGAAAGTGATTGCTAACAGGCTCAAGTTGATCCTCCCAATGCTCATATCAGAGAACCAGAGCGCGTTCGTACCAGGGCGTTTGATCACTGACAACGTCCTAGTGGCATATGAAATCTCACATTACCTGATGAACAAGAGGAAAGGGAAGGAGGGAGTGGCAGCAGTCAAAGCTGATATGAGTAAAGCGTATGATAGAGTGGAATGGGAGTTCCTCCGTGCGATGTTGCATAAACTGGGTTTCCAAGCAAGGTGGGTGGAGCTGATTATGAAATGTGTAACCACGGTCCGGTACCAGATCAAGCTGAACGGAGAATTGTCACACCAGTTTTGCCCTTCACGAGGTTTACGCCAAGGGGACCCGGTGTCCCCATATCTGTTTGTGATCTGTGCCGAGGGCCTGTCTGCGCTCCTCCATGACGCTGAACGGGAGGGAAGAATCTCAGGAGTTAAAATATGCCCGATGGCACCATCGATCTCCCACCTCTTGTTTGCTGACGACTCTGTTCTTCTGCTGAAGGCGAACCAGATGGAAGGTGCAGCGCTCAGAGAGGTGTTGGACCTGTATGAAAACTGTTCGGGACAATGCATAAATTTGGAAAAATCTGCGCTCATGTTCAGCCCTAATTCAAGAGAGGAGGACAAGGAAGCGGTCAAAACAGCCTTGCAGATTCATAGTGAATCCTAGAATGAGAAATATCTAGGGCTTTGAGTGCATGTCGGGAAGTCAAAAAGAAAGGCATTTGCTTATGTGAAGGGTGGCATTGCGGGTCGGTATATGGATGGAAAGAAAATCTAATTGCGAAGTCAGGCAAGGACACCCTAGTTAAAGGAGTGGCCCAAGCAATACCCACCTTCGCTATGTCATGTTTCGACCTTACCAAGACGTTTTGCAAGGAAATAAGCTCTTTGATCGGAAATTATTGGTGGAGTCAATAGGACAAGGAAAATACCACACACTGGATTAGTTGGCAAAAATTAACTTTGAGCAAGGCACATGGGGGCCTAGGATTTTGGGACATGCACAACTTCAATATAGCTTTGTTGTCGAAGCAAGTGTGGAGACTGATTCAGAGCCCGGATACGCTTTGTGCAAGAACCCTTCAGGCTCGTTACTACCCTAATGGTAATATCATCGAAGTTGCCCCTAAGGATGGAATATCATATGCCTGGCGTAGTTTGCTAGCTGGAAGGAATCTCATCAGGGAAGGATATATTTGGAGAATCGGGGATCGCTCCACTGTGAGGATATGGGATGATCCATGGATCCCGAGGCCGTGGTCACGCCGGATCATCACGCCGAGGGGCAGTAATATCCTACAGTGGGTAAATGACTTGATCGACCCAGCTTCTGGGACGTGGGATGAGCAGTTAGTCTGCGAGACTTTCTGGCCGGATGATGCGAGGCACATCTTGCAAATTCCCTTGCGGGAAGGAGTCCAAGACTTTGTAGCCTGGCAGTATGATAGCAAGGGGAGGCACTCGGTAAAAACCGCGTACAAGCTGCACATCCAAATGGAGCGGCAAAAGAAGGACAGAGGTGTCGGCATGAGCTCAGACACTGTTGGTAACCTGGAGAGCCACCAGGATGAACAATGGAAGAGGCTGTGGAAGATCCCGGTGCCAAAGAACATCCAGATGTTTGTGTGGAGAATGAAACACGAATCATTGCCGCTCAGAACCAACATTGAGAAGCGAGGCATCCCGATTGAGGACACAACTTGTCTCTTTTGTGGCCGTGCAGCGGAGGATGGCGCCCACTTGTTTATCAAGTGCAAGTCAGTTAAGATGGTGTGGCGAGATTTGGCCTTGGAGAAAGAGAGAATGGATTTGGAGCGAATCGCGTCCGTGCATGCAATGCTCGATTATTTGTGGGGGCTGGATGAGGAAAAACGCATGCACGTCCTCACCTTTTGGTGGCTCTGGTGGGCAAACCGAAACAAGTTGAGGGAAGGAGAGCTGCCAGCGCCGGGCGAGGAGATAGCCAGGAGAACTAGAAGCAATGTCCTGGAGTACATCGAGCTTCTTGGTGACCAACCGAAGAAAGTGTTGGGCAAATGGAGCCCTCCTGATGGTGATATGGTGAAGATCAGCATAGATGGCTCGTTCATTCCAGGAACAAACCAAGCGGGGTGGGGCATGGTGGCGAGAACTTCAGATGGCGCAATCATCCGTGCCCGTGCCGGCTGCCAGGCAAGTGTCAATGATCCGTTTGCTGCTGAAGCCTTTGCGATGTCTCAGGCTGTCTCGCTTGCTGCTGATCTCGGGCTCACTCGTGTGGAATTCCAGACGGACTCGTAACTGCTACTCGAGGCACTTGACATGTAGAAGGCGGATTCGTCAGCATATGCAGCAGTGATAGAGGACACTAAATTCCAGTTGAAGCTGTGGTTTTCTTTCCATGTAATTTCTGTTTGTAGGCGCGCCACCAACACTGTAGCCCACGAGCTAGCAGCAGTTGGACGCATGTACGATCCGAACCTATACGTTGAGTGGGAGGATGATGTACCAGCCCGTGTGGCTGATTGTGCGATGGGTGACCTGCCCAAGCACCGTTAAGTTATAAAGCTTTTGCTTTGCCTTAAAAAAAATATGTTAAAGGCATTCTCTGATCTGATCTGTTCACACCCCCTACTTGTTTCAAATTCGCGAACTTTTTGTGAATTTGTATTTTCTTTCAAATCAACAAACTTTTATGAATTTTCAAACTGTTTTTCAAATTCATGAATGTTTTTTCAACTCGTGAACTTTTTGAGTTAACGGTCTTAGCAGTCAACGTTTTTTTTTGAGGGATTCTTAGCATTTTTTTTTTGAGGGATTCTTAGCAGGCAACGTTATTCACGGTCAAATGAGCGACAGTCCTTAATGGGCCGCGGCCCGGCGCCTTTTTTTATGCCAATTACTGGCTGCAGCCCAACTACTGGCCCATCATCGCCATACCGCGACTCGCCGTCTCGCCATAGAGTCCCCCACGGAGATCGAACGGAACGCCGCCGCCGCCGCCGCCGCTTCCACCACCGGCCGCCCCGCCTCCCGCCTGCGGCCATCCCGCACTGCCTGCCCCGCCTCCGCCGTCCGGCCGCAGTTTCCGCCCTCCCCTGTGTGCTCCCGCCCTGCCCCGGCGGCCGAACTCCGCCGTCCGGCCGCAGTTTCCCAGGCCGCCAGGCACGAGAAGCTGCCACCCCCCCGGCGAGGGGTGGTCGCCTCAACGGCTCCGCTCAACCGGTCGGTTCGGAGGTATGTGCCATGGCCTGCTGAGCAGCTTGCTGACCTGCACCCGCTCCCTCCATGCTCACCAATGCTGTCGGTCGGCCCTCTCAGAATTAAGCAACGCTAAGCAGTTGTCGTCAGCGGAGCAAGCAAGGAGATGTGCTCCTTGTCGTCGTTCTACTCCTGTTTCTAGTGCAGCACACAACATGTTGATGATTGTTTTCCAGTTTTCATTAGTTTATACAGTACAAATGAGAGATGTTTTACCTGCTTCCGGTTGTTTGATTTCAGGCTCAGGGTTTAGGGAGGGACTCGATTTGTTTCAATCATCAAGTCGAGTGGATTCTGTACTGAAAGGTCGGTTTGATCACTTCCTTCCTTGTAGTGCATGTTTGGGCCCTCAGGCATTTTTGACAGGCAGCATTCCAGTGTTTCTCAACTGCTGCACACTGTTTCGTCGGCCAATTTCGTATTACGCGCGCGATATCGATGTTTTGTTTGTTTGGCGGTGACGCACAGTCAGAATTTTTTCTGTCTTAATAGCTTGTGTTGGTGACTTGATGCATACGAGCAATCCACTTTTTTCTGTCTTACAAAGTACCATCCGAGCTTCTTTACCTTTTCTCATTCTCCACTGTGATTTTATAGGTGTGCTCGCTGACAATGGCTCTTCTCATGCTGAGCTGTGAAGGATTTCAGAAGCATGAGGATAGATTCCAGGCAACACATATTGGCCATCGGTTGCTTTACTCCCCTGCTGCTGATAATAGCTACAGGGACGATGTCACTGCTGCTGCTGCTGCTGCAGATGATAATATAATAGATGGCAGCATTCTCAGCAAGAAGAATCTTCAAAGTTTGCCCGCTAATGAGGATTTTCTCTCAATTGAGGATAATCCAGTGGATGAGCTAGAATTGGATGATGGTAACATCTCTCTCTCTCTCTCTGGAGATATTTACACAAATGTGACTTGAGGAAATTCTATGTACTCATCAGTTAATAGTAGTAAACTACTACCTCTGTTTATAATCTGTATATGTTTGGTAGATGATACTCAACAAAACCAAAATGACTTATTGTGGAGGGGGAAATATACGGCAGAAATTCGGCCTTCAGAGGGATCATGGATGTGTTTTCAGTTTTGGCGCCAAATAACAAATTATGACATGCCATAAATGAGTGTGGAACATGAAGATAAACTAACCTGTGGACAGCTAGGCATTATTTTCCCAAAAATAAACTGTGAGTAAGTGGAAGCGCCAAAAGTGCATTTCCACGTAAAGCAACGAAAGGTGCAGTAGTTCAATCATTTTATGCATTGCAGTACATATGTGGTTTGGTAATCAGCATAATGACAAGAAAAACTTGTTGAAATCACTGCCATTTAACATGTTATACTCCGAGAATATATCATTGGCTTCTACAGAGCACGCATCAGGAAACAACTTCTCACTGTTATAATGTTTGATTTCTCAATTCTGCTTTTTAGTAAAGTCACCCCTCTCTTCCCTGCATAATTTGGTTTCTCCGTGTGTATTTGTGCATGCATTTATGTTCTTAATTATTAGAACTTGACACAACTTCGACTCAAGGGAGAATGATAAGTACTCATCCACTAGTATATGTTGCGTGTGTATTTGTCGGCTCATGTGTGTTTCCTATTGTAGACCTTGATGCAACATTGAGTCAAGAAAGCACTCTATGTACCTATTCACTAATATATTTCTGTGTATGTACCAGGGTTGGGAATTGTTGAGAGGGTTAGTCCCATTGAATATATCAAGAGGTTACTGTTGATGAGATCAGCACTGGGTGATTCTTCTATTGAGCTAGGTATTAACACTGTCATGCACATGCTTCCAGAGTCTTCTAGGGACTGTAGGCATACTGGGGACCTCTATTGGCATGGTTATTATCAGATGAACAAATTATCTCCAAGTGAGTTATTGATTTTAAAACTTCATTAATTACTCATTTCGCACACAGACATAAATGTGTATTGAATCTTTACCTACCTTTTGACTAGCTGCCTTGCCGCCGATGCGGTACACTCACTGTGCATCTTCAAACGAGCTTCGGTGTTTCCATAAGCCGCGTGCTATGCTCCAAGTCTTTTGTATTAAGTTGAAATCATATCTGGAAGATGCGGGTGGGCCAATTGAGGTGTATGGGTTTATTGCAATTCGTGATGCGGAAGACTATCGGCGCAACTACGTTTTCAACCGATCTCGTGATAACCCAATCATTGTCAACAAGGTAACTAATCAATTGTCTAGTATGATATATGAGTGCCGATTTCTTATGATCGTTGATTTTCCACTTGGATGGTGCAATTTAGTTACGTGGTATGGTTGAAATATGTTGACTTGATTGGGAAGTAACTGCTGATATATTTGGCTGGTACTTTACCAGTCTAATATGTGGAGTAATGCCTCAAGTCTTATATAGAAAGTATGTCTCAGCTAGGTTGGATTCTTCTAACAGTAGAAAGAACCACTCTTTGTTTGTGCTAGCTATATATATGCATGCTGTCTGGTTAAGCTGTTTGTCTAGGCAGGTATTGATTTTTTTTTTGAAATTTCAGTTTACTAAGTGTTATCCTCCAACTGAGAAAATTCTAGGTCTAGGAATGTTTGAGAAACTAAATTGTTGCAGAAGGCCTATTTCCAGTTTTTGCGGTTAGTTGTCAGTGGTAGGAGAATGAATTGACCAGTTGGTTCTCACATGTCCGGATGTCCCCTATGTTGCCACCCCCTCCCGTCATTGTCATTTGCTCATTGCTATTGTTAGCTAGCCATTCTTCATGGTACTGTTGCATGCATGTTGAGCCATATGACAACAGCACGTAGGACTCAACTCGGTCATGGCTCTTAGCTTTCCGTATTTTCTTGCCGTTTCAGTTATTCATGAGCAATGCAATGGTCTCGGACTTACGGTTATGTTGTGTTTCCTTCACTCACTGCAAGAAGGCAGTGCTATGCTTAGGCAGAGGCTGTGGGACTTCTATTTTTCGCATTTCAGTTTAAGTGAACTATCTTGTTTCTGTACTGAAGTCTGAAGATCTGTCATGACCTCTAAATGACCAATGAAATATATATCCATTATGCAGAGTTAGCAGGTAGAGACTAATCGTGTACTTGCTGGAAATTAGGAAAATGATGCTTAGCACGACAATCACGCTTATTGTGTCAGTCACGTGAAATACATTGTTTGCTAGGCTTTTCCATTTGCTTGCCACTTTATAATATTAGCAGAGTATTAATAGTGAAGTCATGACATGACCTAGAAAAAGTACACGTTTTTCCATTGTTCAGTGCTCCCAGTTTTGAAATTCCTCAATATTGTGAATGTACTTCCCTTGAATTAGATGACATGATAAACTAAATTAGAAGTGCATGTAGATCTATCCTTGAATGATTGGATTGCGTAGTTACACCATGATCGACTTCACCTGGTATATATTCTGCCATAAAAATAAAAATAATAATGCCGACTCCCTTGGTTGAGTTTCAGACCAGTGACTACCTGACTTTGGTGAGCCCTAGCAGAGGCATTTCGATGACAATCGATTGCCTGATGGAAATAGATCTGAGAGCCAAGGGACCCATGGAAGACGTGACTCTGGTGGATGGGTGCTGTGATTTCGTGGAGGGCCGTTGCGTGTACGACACGGAGCTGGAGTGCACCCTGGATGGCACCAACGGCACTCTCATCTTTGATCTCATCGTGTTTCGAAGAGCGCTGGAGGCGACCGTAGAGCTGTGTTTCACCAAGGTGCCCGAGGGAGGCTTTGAGCTGAAGATGTGCGGGTACACCGCGGTTTCAGAGAGCCTGTACCTCTTTGCCGGTGAGCAGTGCGACTGCGATGGCTTGGTCGCCTCGGCCGGGAAGCACCCGCAGAGGTTCGTCGCAGCCGTACCGTTCGATGACACGCTCTTCATCGATTTCATGGAGGGGAGGCTGCCTGTCCCGTTTAAGGCGACGTCCGTTCATGGCTGCCTAGAGAAGGAGTACTGCTTCTGCAACGGCGCTGTGGTGAGCGTGAAGGTGTCGTGGTCAACGAGCTTCTACTAAGCCTCCACCGACTTGTACAGCTGGCGAATTTTGTCCACGAAGCAAATGAATCGTCTGCTGCTGCTTTTTTTGCACAGGAAGTAATTGACTGCTTATTCCTTATTGCCAAGCAAATTGATCGTCTGCTGCTTTCTTCACAAAAAGCATATTTGGTCGTCGGCTGCTTTCTTCACAAAAAGTATAAATGATCCTCTGCTGCTTATTAATTCCTTGTTACAAATTCTCTTGATTGTTCTGTGAATGTTTAACAAACAAACTATGTGACCATGTGACCATACCTGGGTATGTATGTATCAATATCATCTTGACATATCTCGCTAAAATCTCTGTTTTTCTTTTTCAAATTCGTGAACATTTTTTTGTTCATCGAATTCCAAAAATGTTCATCAATGAAAAAATTGTTCGTTGAATTAATTTTTTTCATCGGATTTAAAAAATGTTCATCATCTTCAAATTGTTTTTATCAAATTAATTTGTTTTTTCATCAAATTCAAAATTTGTTCATCACTTTGAAAAATCTTCATCAATTTCAAAAAATTTCCATCCATTTTTTTAAATGTTCTTGAATAGAAATTTTGTTTATCAAGTTAAAAGTGTTCATCCAATTAAGAATTTGTTCATCAAATACAAAACAATGTTCATCATTATTAAAAAAATGCTCAAACAAATTGTTCGTCAATTTAAAACAAATTGCATTAAAATGTAAAAATGTTCATTCTTTTGAAATCACAAACATCTTAAATTCAAGAACTGGTTTTGAAAATTCAATTTTTTTTTTGAAATTTTAGAACCTTCTTCTAATCCCGAATTATTGTAAGATAGAATAAAAGAAAAAAGAAAATAAAAATTGATTAAAAAAATAGCGTCCAACCCCATATATGGGCCGGCCCAAACTGGCACGCTTGGTGGCGCTTATGGGCACTCTTCCCCTTCTTGCAGGCACCGTTGTGGAGTTTCTTCGACCCTCTCCACCCCCGTTTTTCCTTTTTTGGTCGTAAGCTTAGACTCGGCTAGGTCAGGTGACGACGTTGTTCCTATGGTGTTTCTTTCCCTTTGAGGCATTGCTTTGAAGACCCATGACTGTTAGAATAATTCAAGGTGCACATCGATCCGTCGAGGACAAGCAATCACACAACACGAGTCTGACTCCAGGATTTGTTAACGAGGTTCATCAACATGACTATTTCATGGGGCATTAACCACAAATGCTCCTCCCTAGACCGTCGCTCTTGTGTTCTTTGTCTAGCCTACCAGTTTATGTCTAGTCTCTTGGGTTACCCCACGGTGCCTTTATATAGTAGCTCAGGTTACACTTGTTCGACTCAAACAGCTAACCCTCTGTGTACGCCAAGTTTAACTGTAGCCCAATGCACATATTCACACACAATTTTAACAGTGATCCTTCTCGCACTTTCGCAGGGCAGGGCACAAACATCATCATGATCGTCAGGTATATGACATGCGGTGTGGGTGTGTGTTGTGTGACAACGATGATGATAGCTAGAGGAGCAAGGCCGCAACTTGTCCTCATTGTCGATTGCCTGGCATGTCCCTGACCATGACGTCGGAGCTGCAGCGACGCAAGGCAATGCAACGGGCAACTATGCCATGCCATGTGTTTGATAGGTCAGATTATCTTGATGCAAGGCATGCTTCTTTTTCTTGTGATGCTTGTATTTGAAGTTGAAGCTGCCTATCCCTCGATGCATGTTACTGACCATTTGGCATAGGCTGGCATGAGTTCTCGTGTGTGTTTTGTTCTGAGAGATCTTGAGGGGCCATCTGCGGTGAAGTCAGTGCCGTTTGCTCGAAGAACAGTGATGACGATGACATTTATTGACAACCTCGACGATGTGTGTGAGTCTTGTTGGTAGCCAGATCGGTCGGTGTGCCCTAGCTTGTGCGCGTGTTGTATCGGTTTTTGACTTTTTTTGTAATTAATTGGACAACTTTTTTTCCTAATCTATAATACCGAAATAGTTCATTCCCACTATAATCTAGTAATAATAAAACCGGATTCTCAAGGCACGACTTAGGGCATCTCCAACAGTTTGTATGTTAGTTTGTTGATAAAATATGTCATGTCAACAACCAACACCTTAACATACAACTACTCCAATAAGTTGTATCTAGTTTGCCCAATGGGATGTGAGATAATAAATAAGGTGCTTTCTCTTTTTATATTGGAGCTTGTGCAAGGGGTGTTAGTTCATGTACATACAACCTTACTCTCTTTCCTTATTTATTGTATGACACATCATAAAAAATCCTATGTGACAAAGTCTACCAACAACTATCTTACAACTATTAGAATTATATTATAACTGCCTTAAGCAGTTATTTAGTGCCTAGACTGCCTCAAGCAGTTATTAAGAATTAGATTACAACTTTTGGAATAGATTATAACTGCCTTAAGCAGTTACTTAGTTCCATATCCTAGTGACATTGGACCCATCACATGTAATTGGTTGGGGCTCAAGAATATCTTTCGATATCGCCAATACATCAAACATTTTGTCCTAATCTTCTGATACCAGATTCAGAGAAATATGGACACCATTATCATTGGATAAATTGATCAGATCCCCACCATGTGAGATCGTAGACAAGATTTGTATTCCTACTATGTGTGGTAGCCATCTCATGAAAGTCTTTGAACAGACCTTAGTGGCTACATCCACCAATCATAATCTCATAGATAATGTTGCTTGTGTTGCCCTGATGAAAATATGTTACGTAAAAAGTAATATCACTATATTGCATATCTTGCAAGTCAAATCACGTGACTGTGTTCACCAAGTCTCTACCAACTTCTACATTCCAGAAATATATTCATGGAATTAGTATGTGACGGCTTTGGAATTTGTGAGAATTGAGGGGGGGGGGGGGTATATCTTCCTGAATTATTCATGTTTGAAGCATCATATTATACTTCTTTTCCCTTCATGAGTTTACTTTACAGGTTCTCATAAAGATATTTAATGAGGTAATATCAACATGATATCATATGTCATACTTTCAGTATTCCCCACCGGGTTTTTTAAGAAAGTATATATGACATATTTGTTCTCCCTTAAATTCTATGAGTTTCTCATATTGAGTTTTTTGAGCAAATTCTCATGTTGAGTTAAAGGAGACAATCACAATTATATGTTGCATCATTTTCTCTTTATTTTCTCACTAGGTTTGCAGGAGTTTAGCAACATATCAAACACATTTCTTCATATTTTTCCCATAGGGTTTTTGGAGGAGTTACTATACAACTGTGATTAAGATGGCACCATTGTACATGCCCCTCAACAGGCACCTCGTACAGGCGTCTCCTCTTGTAAGTTGTAATCTACTACCACTATAAAAGGAAGAGAGGGGCAGATCCAAACAATCAGGCCCATCCATCATCAAGATCTAATGGCCCTTAACCCTTCGGTGTTTAACGCTGCCAACCACGCGTTAAGCTACTAACAAGCCATCGATCGATAACCAAGGCCCGCCGTTAAAAAAAAGGAAAGCCGATCGCACGACCCGCACGACCACCCTCTTCGCACGACTCTCGCCCCTGCGCGCACAACCTCCCCTCCTCCTCCCGCGCCGTTCGCCGCCCCGCAAACTCCGGCAGACGTTAGCCGCCCTTCGCCGTAGGAGCCGTCATAGGAGCCGCTCGCATCTGGAGCCGCCGCCCCGCGGGAGCCGCTCGCCGCTGCAGCCGCCGCCCGCGGGAGCCGCTTGCCACGCGAGCCGGAGCCGCCCTGCCCCTGGATCCGCTCGCCGCTGGTCGCCGACGGAGCTGCCCCGCCCCTGGATCCGCTCGCCGCCGGAGCCGCCCGTCGCTCTCCCACTCAGCTTGGCCTCTCGTAAGTTGAGAAATTTGATTGTACCAATGATTATACTAATGGATTTGACTGACCTGCAACTTACTATAGGAGTTGCAGCCTACTGCTTGCAATCACTGAAAAAGAAATTGCTTTGCCAGAGCGTGCATGGATGTGCAGGGTGTAGTGTTGCCGTTTGATTCAGAGTGGAGAATGTATGGAGCTCCCAAGTCTGACCCCTCTACCAGTAATCCTTTCCACCGATGCACTTGAGATATTATATACTCTTTTGCATGCATGCCACCCTTTACTCTGGATGTTTCTGAGAAATGGATTTCAGCTAACATGAGTACCTGCAACTTGCAGGTGTTAAAATTAACAATAACTAGGATGCACTCAGAATACTCATGTATTTGTTTCCCATATTATTATCAATCCAAGGATCGAAGATTGTTTCCCATGTTATTATCAATCCAAGGATCGAAGAAGAAAAAAAAGGGACATAGCAAAATTGACTTTAGAGAGATGGACCAGGATCTACAAAAATGATCACACTTAGGGCAGAATAATGATGAAGCCCCGTGCTTTTCTAATCCAGGGGTCACTTCTGACCTGGCTAAGGTAGGAAACATTAATCATGTTTTCATTTTTTGTATATATTTCTGTGATTGCTGGAGGTAAGGCAAAGAGTTGTTGTAGACATGAAATTTGTGAAGTTTGTAATGACTAGATTTCAGCAACGGTCATGGTTACAAAATTTCATCTTGGTCACTTCATATGCTTAACTTTTTTTTAGATAATGGAAGATTGTTTTTCCGTCCTCTGCATCGTTCCACCTGAACATGTTTTTGCTTTCGCCTGATCTTGGATCCTACTAATTTGTTATACAACCTTGTTTCTCTTGTGCTAACTCTTCATATCAAAATCCTTTTACGTACTATGCAGTTATGCTTTATCTGCACTGTAACCCAACCTGTCTTCCTTCCAGTTACAGCTGCTATCTCTGTTTGTCTCGTGCATATTTTGAAGTACAGTTTTTTGGTTGATTACAACTATGTACCATTCTTTCACTATTTCAGAGAAGATCAGAAGAACATTTAGGGATACGATGGAAGGGAGTTAGTTCCCTATCTGAAACTGTTTAACGTCCTCTATCTCATCAGACTAATAAACAAAGGTATGACTCGTATTTCTAAGAAACGGAGGCCCATGTGGGACACAAGATAAATTTCTCCTGCTATTGTTGAGATCAATGAAGATGGGTCTCCTGAGTACACAGATAATCGCCGTAAAAATTGCTCTCCAGCCTCTGCTCCTCCATCGAACTATTAACATGCCCCGTTTATTTATTTTCCCATAATATGTCTCATCTACTTGCAGCCATGGAATATTCGCATATCTTCACTACAAAATGTGACCAAGATGGAAGAGGCCCTCCTACAAACTTTGCTGCATGTATTTGTTGCTTGTAAGGCAGCTGCCCAACTAGCATTTATAATTTCTTGTGGATTTACATGGTGTGCATGAAATTTCTCTTACATGCAAACTTGTATACTTGGAAATCAGGGTTCTATGCATTACTAACCAGAATCCGGGGATTTTGTTTTGTTGTGAACACAATCAAATCAATTAGTTTTCCAATGTTTACCCTTGGTTTTTATCCGGCACTATTTCTTCTGGCATTTAGGCATGACATTTTCGGGACTGGACTATAAAAGAGATGAAAGAGGGGATACTTTGGAGAACGATTGTGCATGTTGCTTCTCAAGTTTAGCTTGTGAATTTTAGTGTTGGGATATTTTTGTGAAGAATAAACTAAACATTAACATGTCGAGAGCGTCTTGACGGTGCACATAAAAAGTGATAAGGCGGGTCAATGGCTGGGAGGTTTATGGTTTGATGTTGTCCTATGTCATATCTCATATTTGTGTACCAGAAAGGAACATCCAAGCTTCCACATAATGGAAATTCTTCCTATTTGTCACCGTAGTCGGAAAGATTTTTTTCTACTACACATCGACTACTACTTGAAATCTATCATTCTATTATAGAAGTATAGTTTTGTTGATTTTATTTAACAATTGCCTCTTAACGGAGATAAACAAAGAAACATCTTATTATGGTCGTTGTACGTGCATGGCACGTGCACGCTTACTAGTCCCGAACAAGTTTTTTCTAGTCACTTCGTTTTTTTACAACAACCATTGGAGATGCCCGTAAACAAAACCGAGATAGATGGGCCCAAGAGCCAGACGGAGGCGGCCGCTTCCTGCCAATTACAAATTGGGTGGTCGTCCCCACAGTTTCCGTCCCCTCCCACCGCACCGCCGCCCTCCACCAAAATCCGTCGCCGCACCTCGACGAGCACCGCTCCCCGTCGCCTCACCGGGTTCGGCGGCCGCACCGGCGGAGATCCAAGGCCGCCTCTGCCGGCGCAACGCCGCGTCAACGACACGGTCCCCGGTTCCTCGGTTCAGCCTAGGGTTTCTCTCGGGCCACCCGTTCACATGGCGAACGAGGTCGTTCTCGAAACTCGAATTGCCCCTAGCGTGTTATTATCGATTTCTCTCTGGTTTCTATCGTTTCTACTACGACAGGAAACATTACTGCTCTGTTAGGTGTTCATCACATGAGTTGCTATCGTTGTTAAAAGCGATGTAATACCCTCCTTGGCAACTTGTGGCTCACCTTATTTTTCTCAGTATCCAACTATTTGTTCGTCGGTAGCAAAGATGACAACTTATGGCTGGTTTACACCAAGAGATTTATTCCCCGCTTTTGCTTGCTCAAGAGGTTGACTGATCAAGTCCTTCTTCCTCTTCTCTTGTGGTAGTCTCAGTTTCTTCCCACACGGTAGGATTCCGTGGTCATCCTTGATCTCAGCTGTAATATCAGTTTTCCAATGCTCTTCAGCGCGTTGAGTACATGCTCCCTCTGTTCCATATTACTCGTCGCTGATTTAGTACAACTTTGTACTAAATCAGCGACGAGTAATATGGAACGGAGGGAGTACGTATTATGGCGGGCAGCCATGGTTTGTAGCTATTTGGTGAAGCTCCCCAGCTCTGTTTATTTGCCCGAACAAGACACGTCTTATTTGAATTGACTGAATAAGTCAGAAAAGAAAATATTTCTTTTGGGAATACATTACTAGATGGACATGTTCTGTCCAGTCAGTTTAAATGTTTCAATTGCATTAGTTGCCATTCTTGTTTGCTTTTTGTTCATTAGTGGGGTTGCACTCAACCTGTATTTTGTATGTTTCAAAGTCCACAGTGATCAGTTTTTGTGCTTCTTCATTAGACATTTCCAAGTTATCATTTTGTAGGTGTGCATGCGTTCAACTTTTGATCTCATCCAGAGTTGTGAGCGGTTTCAGAAACGTAGCCATGGGTTTGCTGAGGAGGGCACAAGCAAGAAAAAGTTAGCTACTTCACCATCTCCATCTTCTATGGCAGGCAGACAGGTTTTTAGCTGCTTACTCGATGTTGAGGGGTGCTTTTCGAATTCAGTTCATTTGTTTCACTTGCGTTTGTTTTCATTTGCTTAGTTCTCAGCCAAAGTATTTTTTCTGTATGTCGTATTAGTGCATACATTTCCCAGACCTTTGTTTTGAAGTCCCTAAAAAAGTGATTATAAGATTTCCATGTGTAAGTGTAACATGTGTTTGATTTATTATTTTGTAGGCTTCATTGTCGAGTTCTGATCTCATGCCGAGTTGCGAAGGATTTCAGAAGCATGGCTATGAGTTCCCAACGGCACATGTCAGCCATCGGTTGCTTTACACCACTGGTGCTGAAAGTTGCCTCAGTGATAATGGCAACGCCACTGCTGCTAAGGACAACCTTAGCAACAACCTCGACCTAAAAAATGATGATAGTCTTGGAAACATCCCTTGTTACGATGATACTCTCCCTCTTGAGGATGATTCCGGTGATACGCCTACACATGATGATGGTACTTCCTCTCCCTCCCTGCCCCACTCTCATTTACGTGTATGCATGTTCAGGTTTTCTTTTGAAGAATATTATCAGAACTGGCACTCAAGGGAAAATTCTGTTTACTTGTCTGTATCAGGGATAGGAATTATCCAAAGGGTTAGTCCTATGGAATATATCAAAAGGCTACTATTGAAGAGATCTGCGTTGAGTATCTCTTCTGCTGAGTTAGGTGTCAATACGAAGTTAAGTATGATTCCAGAATCTTCGAGAGATTTTAGGCATAGTGGTGATCTTTGTTGGCACGAGTATTATCACATGAGTGAAGTATCTCAGAGTAAGCAACTTTTTCCTTACCCTGTGTCTATTCACTTTATTTGCAGACACGTACTTATGTACTGAATAAGTATCCTTTTTTAGCTGTTTTGCCACCAAAGCGATATACTCGGTGCGAACCTTTGACTGCGGTGCGGTGCTTTCACGAGCCACAGGCTATGCTCCAGGTTTTTTCTATCAAGCTGAAGGCATATCTCCAAGCTATAGGCAGTTCAGTCGATGTATATGGTTTTGTTGCAGTCCGGGATGGTGAGGATTATCACCGAAATTATCTTTTCAATCCACCCCGAACTGACCCAGTGACCATCAACACGGTAATTACTTTTACGCCAAATTTTGACTTGATATTTTGGTAGTAAATGTGCATATAATGGTCTTCTGTACTGTCCAGTCAAGCTTCTGCGGCTTTACTTCTATTTTTTGTATGGACATGTTTACAATAATTTAGAGTAAAATGCACAGTAGGTCCTAAAACTATTTAAGGATTGTCAAGCTAGTCCTAATACTATGAAAATGCACATCTACATCCTAAAAGTTTGCTAAGTGTGTCACCTGCAGTCCTATCTGCACTGCATCAGCTTTGACTTGCACAGCTGGCAGGTCGACAACTGCCATGTGGCAACTTTTTGCACAAATCCCCCGGAAAGGTCTTCTCTTTGAATTTTATTACTCCTCATCTTTGCACGTATCATCTATTCCTCTCTCTGGCCCTCCTCTCCACCTATGCCGATGACATCTATCCATCAACTAACCAAAACACTTGCAATTCTCGTACATAGGCTAATAGCATAGCACAAAGCAAGAAAAAAAAACAAGACAAAGAAACATGGAAGCAAAGGGGATTGATCACGGTGGTGTGCATCGCATGTGGAAGCAGAGCTACAACAGCGGCACCATAAAATTGACCAATGGGAAATAACAAGGGAGCAGAGTGGAGGGCACACACTAGACTAATCGAGCTAGAACTCACCAATGGTGGAGGTTGAGGGCAGCGGCTCGACATCTGATGTCGGGGACAAACATTCCAATTGAAACGTTGTGGTACGTTGGACAACAAGTCTGTGGTGGGATTTGTCCGGCTCGTTGTGGTGCTCCTCTACGTGGGTGGAATCGGGTCAGCATGCTCTGGTGATTGCCGGTGGCGGGGGCGACATGCTACATGTGCAAGTCAAAGCTGATACAACGTGGATAGGACTGTGGGTGACACACTTAGCAAACTTAACAAGGCATCCCTCAAATAGTTTTAGGACTTGTTGTGTATTTTACTCTTTACATAACTAAGTAAGTTTGTATGTTTGTCTTGGATATAATGCTTTTACATTCATTGATCATGGTACAAGATTAGCATAACACTTGACAGTAAAGTTGGAACTTGTGAGCATATCTTACTTAGAAATGCGCACTGTTCACTTCTTTTGGCTCTGAAAGCCCTCAAATGTGAATGCATGACAGCACACTTCCTTGGTAAGCTTAACTTAGATGACATGATAAATAAAATTAAGCACGTGTAGATTATTTTTAAGACATTCATGCTGATTTGTTCTGAAAAGTTCCATCTCATTTGACGTCTCAACTAACTTGGCTATATAGTTGCGACATCTCTGTCTCCGATATGTTGCCATCAAGAAAAGATTTTGACATGCTAATTAATTATTTTCCCTGTCGAAATTCAGACCAGCGACTACCTGCCTTTGATGAGTCCGATACGAGGCATGTCCATGACATTTGAATGCTTGATCGAAGTTGATATCAGAATAAAGGGAGATATAGAAGATGTCACTCTGGTCGATGGGTGTTCCGATCTTATTGAGAGTCGTTGTCTATATGACACGGAAATTGAGTGCACGATGGATGATACAAATGGTGCGGCCATGTTCGATTTTATCATCTTTCGTAGAGCGCTTGAGGCGACGATAGAGTTGAATTTCACAAAGGTGCCTACAGGAGGCATGGAGGTGAAGATGTGTGGATACACGGCGATTTCGAAGAGCCTTTATGACTTCATGGGCGAGCAGCGTGAGTGTGATCAGTTCGTTGCCTCTGCTGGGAAACATCCACAGTACTTCATAGCAGCTGTGCCGTTTGAAGACACACTGTTTGTTGACTTCATGGAGGGAAAGCTGTCGATTCCTTTCAAGGCAGCAGTTCATGGCAGCCAAGAGAGAGAATACCATTTCAGCAACGGTGCCCTGGTGTCGGTGACGGTTTCTTGGTCGTCGACCTATTACTGAACCTAGCAAGATATATAGATAGGTAATGCAGAATGTCAACTAATCGCCACCTGTTAGATTTTAATTCACGTAACTTGATAGATTGTAAACTAGTATATTTATGTCGCTTTGTGCGACACACATCCACTTGTACGGAGTATTCTTATCGACTCAGCCTTTGCGCAGTGAGAGTATTATTTTGGAAATTCAAACTTTTACTGACGAAAAATTGGGAGTTTGATTTTATTTTTTGTACCTTTTGGAAAATTAAACTTTCCTAAAGCTAAAATTTTCAGCTAAAAAATGAATTTGAAATTCTGAATCATTCATGTTTTTTGGAGCTTAATAAAAGGAGAAGATAACCCTGAAAAAATGATACACGAGCGAGCACCACTGAGGAGAGAACCACAACAACGTCTAACTGTTGTGGAGCGGTTTCATTCAGGTTTTTTGAATTAGGAGGGTTGACCGAGATCAATTTGAAACCAAAAGGGAAAAAGAAAAAGAAGAATGAAATAGAAGAATGAAAGAAAAAAAGAAACCGAATAAATAATGCAAAACAGTGAAACCTATAAAGAAACAAAGGAAAATACTGTTGAAAAACAAGAAAGAAATAAAAACCAAAGAAATTAAAAAGAAAAATGATAAAGAAAAGAAAGACAGATGTAAACCATGAAATAAGCAAAAGAAAAACCAAAGAAAAGCACAAGGAAACTAAAAACCTGTACTATAATGACGTAAGCATAATAATAAACAAAGAAAACTGAAGAAGAAATATGAAAACCAACAAAAAAATTAAAATAAAACAAAAACAAACGAAAAACCTGAATGTACACAGCAACGAAGCACCGAGGAATGAAGGAAACAAGTAGCACACCATTGGGCCGGCCCACAAGCGCTTTCTGTGGAGGAAAACTTCATCGACGATGCTAGTCTCACTATAAGCTAGACATAATGCATACAAAATGATTCAAATTACGAAACTGAATAGAGAAGCATGGCTGGATGAACAAGAGGGGACAAACTGTTTGGGATGGACAAATTCATCTTTAACCCCCAAAAAATTACATGAAAAATTTGACTTTACCCAAAACAATTACATAAAAATCTCTTCTTGAGGTGTGTCAATTGCTCTTAAAATTTATCCAATGTAGTTGCTAGTTTATTCATTCACTACTGCCAATTTATTTGCCTCAAGCATTTGTTAAGGAGATGTATCCATTCTTGATCATCCACTCCATACTCCAGTGGTTGTTAATGTTCTGGTAGGTCCAATAAGCCCATCCAAATGTGGCTTGCTTATACACATCCATCTGTGCATTCGCGAAGCTCTGGTACTCTTCCCGAGTTGCGCCAGATGCCTTCCACTTAGCCACCCATTGTCGCATGCATGAGATATTTACACTAGTAGAAAACGGGGCATACGTTCGGGCCAGATAAGCCCTTTAGTCCCGGTTCGGTCACAAACCGGTACCCATGGGCCCATTGGTCCCGGTTCGTGAGGCCAGGGGGCCTGCCGGGCCTCGTGGGGCCATTGGTCCCGGTTCGTCTGGTCCCTTTGGTCCTGGTTGGTGGCACGAACCAGTACCAATGGGCCTCGCTCCTGGCCCACCACCATTGGTCCCGGTTTGTGGCCTGAGCCGGGACCAAAGGAAGGTCTTTAGGACCGGGTCAAGCCACGAACCTGTACCAATGAACCAGCCAGGGGAGAGGGCTTTTGTGTGTAAAACATTAAAAGGAAAAAGAATTTTCATAAAATAAGTAAAAAATCAAAAAAGAAAAGAAAATAAATAAGTAGAAAAAAAATAAAAAAATAAGTACAAACAGAAAAATTTAATAAATAAGTAGAAACAAAATAAACTTTAATAAAGTAAAATAAATGAACTATAATAAAATAAATAAAAATAGCAACAGTAAGTAGAAACAAAATAAAATAAATAAAGCAAAAAAGAAAGATTTTTCATAAAATAGATAAAAGAAGAAAAAAGAAAAGAAAATAAATAAGTAGAAACAAAGTAAACTTTAATAAATAAGTAAAAACAAAATAAACTTTTATAAAACCTCTAGTATTATTGAAACTAAAATTATATAAAATTTATGCAACTAAAATTATCAAAGTATTTTCTGTTCAAAACATTAAAAGGAAAAAGAATTTTCATAAAGAAATTTTTTGTTAGAAACTTTAATAGCAAAAAGAATTATCATAAAGATTTTTTTGTTAGAAACTAAAATAACAAAATATGTTTTTGAATATAATGATAAAACACAGTAATATTAAATAGCAGGAAAAAGAATCACTCAAAAATCTATTTTTATTGTAAAGCTATTCAAAAACTAGTGGTTCACACAAATTTTCAAAATTTCAGATTTAAACTATTCAAATTAGAAAACAAATGGCACTAACAGAAAGTTTATAATTTTTATTACCTAAAAGCAAAAGGAATCACTGAAAAACTAGTAATTATTTTGCTGTAAGTAGAAACAAAATAAAATAAACAAAGCAAAAAAGAAAACAAAAAAAATAAAAAAAGTGCCACCTAAAGGGCCACCACGGCCTGAATATGACTAGAAACCCAACAATGGGCCAGGATTCATGCCCGCTATAGGCCCAGTAGGCCTACAGGCTCATAGTGACAGATTAGGCCCGAAAGCCTGCAGTTGAGAGGAGCTCGAGAGGGTTGGCGCAGCAGCGCTTATAAACCACTCTCGAGCTCTCTCAACTAGCGAGGTGGGACTAAACTTTGGCCGCGACGTGGGCAACACAGGTCCTTTGGTCCCGGTTGGTGCCACCAACTGGGACCAAAGGCCTCTGCTTCCCATGGTATTAGGAACAGATACTTGACATGAAGAAAGCGGTAGCAATAAACTAATACGATCAAATTCTATGCTTACAGTTTGATCCTGTTATCAAATGACAACTCATGTCTATGATTAGAAAACCTTAACCATCTTTCATCAACGAGCTAGTCTAGTAGAGGCTCAGTAGGGACACGTTGTTGTCTATGTATCCACGCATGTATGTGAGTTTTCGATCAATACAGTTCTAGCATAGATAATAAACGATTATCATGAACCGAATATGATAATAACCAATTCATTATTGCCTCTAGGGCATTTTCCAACATTAATCATATTGCTTTGTTTTATTCTATCTACATTATGTCATCATACTTCATGCATTACTCTATTTGTTATGAACTTAATACACAGAGAGGCAAGCATAGAAGCGCTCTTGAACTGGAGTAATAGTAGTAGATGCAGAATCATTTCGGTCTACTTGTCACGGACGTAATGCCTATATACACGATCGTTGCCATGAATAATGTCATAACTATGCGGTTTTCTATCAATTGCCCAACACTAATTTGTCTAACCACCGTATGCTATTTTGAGAAGCCTCTAGTGAAAACTATGGTCCACGGGTCTACTTTCAGCATATTACTAAAACCAAAAATACCTTCCTACAATTTTACTTCTTTTATTTTACTCTGCAATTTATATATCTATCACTATTAGATTTAATCCTTGCAAGTAACGAGTTCAAAGAGAGTAACATCCCCGTTGCCTGCATTGGGTACAGGTATTTGCTCTTGTGTGTATATGTACAGTTTACTAGGCGTTTGCGTGGTTCTCCTATTGGTTTGATAACCTTGATTCCACAAAGGGAAATACTATCCGCTACTATATTGCTTCATCCTCCCTCTTCAGGGAAAATCCCAATGCAACTCACAAGTAGCAGAAATAATTTCTAGCGCTGTTGCGAGGGAGACATCATGAAATACCTATAGGTTCCTACATTTACATTACCATTTACTTGCTCCACTTTATTTTCCTTTATTTGTTTTTATTAGTCTCATTAAAAAATCAAAACCAAAAAACAAATTATTTGCTAATTTGCTATCTCATTTGCTTTGCCACTATGTCTCAAGAAAATACTAAACTGTTTGACTTCTTGAATACTAATAACAATGATTTTATTAGTACTCCAATTGCTCCTACCGCCATTAGTGCAGAGTCATATGATATTAATCCTGCATTGCTAAATCTTATCATGAAAGGACAATTTGCTAGAACTCCTAATGAAGATGATGCATCCCATCTTAATATCTTTGTTGAATTATGTGACATGCAAAAGAAAAAAGATGTGGATAACGATATTGTTAAGGTGAAATTATTTCCTCTCTCGCTAAGAGATTGTGCTAAAACTTGGTTTTCATCCTTACCTTGCAATAGTATTGATTCATGGGATAAATGTAAGGATGATTTTACTGCTAAGTACTTTCCTCCTGCCAAGATTATATCTATTTGAAATCAAATCATGAACTTTAAGCAAGTTGAGCAAGGACATGTTGCACAATCTTAGGAGAGAATGAAATCGATGATTAGAAATTGACCCACTCATGGATTAACTTATGGATGATAACACAAAAAAATTATGCGGGACTAAACTTCGTGTCGAGGAAGAGCGCGTGTGAATGTCTCTCTTGTTCTCGTCCTCATACATGTGGAGAAACAACCTCCCTTATAAGAAGGTCTAACTCCTACTAGATGAGCAGTATGGGACTAAACTTTTAGTCCCACCTCTTGACTTGCATGAACGGGCTAAGTGGGTGTGTAGGATTTATTAGGAATTCTAAAAATGCTATTAAGCTGGCCCAAAAATAGAATAAATTTGAGCACCTCTTGTGTATGTGACTATTCACTATTCTCAACTATGGTGAATACCAAGGAATTATTAGCAGATCGTCGGCAGCCAGAGCCTATCAATTGTCAGAACCTTTTAAAAGTGACACCATCGTCGATGAACTGAACCATAGCAACACCCAAGGGAATCATAGCAAGAACATCAAGCCTCACAATCACATGTGATCTAGATCACAGCGATACTGGCTCATGATGCTAGTATTGCGGAACATAGTAGAAAACAGAAATTGTGTGCCTACGGTCACCCAGGATTAATATGAAGATGCATAATGGCTTGGGATCACGATCGTTACCGTCACCGAGTTGTAGAAGAAGAA